CGTCCCCTTTCTTTCAGAGGCTGAGAGGCAGGAAGGCTGGGGAACTTATTCTCAAGGCTCTCCGGTAGTAGCGGGGGAACCGCAGAGGAAAAAGGCCCGGGAGGGGTCAGCCAGTCTCAGGCCGGGCCCTGCCCAGCCCCCACTTCCCCCTCCCCAGGCCCTGGCTCCCGGCCTCTCTGGGCCGGGGGCCTGGGCTGGCACTGGGCAGTGGGGGCCTGGAGAGGAAGGAGGCTTGGCGGGCGGCTTGAGGGGGAGGTTTCTGCACTGAAGGTCACGCTGTCCTGCAGCTCGGGCAGCCCAGAGAGGTAATAATTGGGGCGGACAAACCAGGCCCTGTGTGCACCAGCTGCTCTCCCCCAGGCCGGGCTAGGCCTCCCACAAAGTCGCTCCCGGGAGACCAGAGTGCTGTGCCGCCAGGGCTGGGACACAGTGCCCCCTTCATCTCCTCCAGCCCGGGGCCGCTATCGGGACGTGAGGGCGGAAGTCCCTCCCAGTCCTGGGACGTGCCGGTCGGCCCCAGAGCCAGGGACTCCTCTTCCCTGCCTGCGCCCAGGGGATGTTGGGGGCAGGGTGAGGAGTCCAGAAGAGAGAAAAAATTGGGAGGCTTTGGGCACATGGTGGGAACAGGCCCCCAGACCCACACGAGGTGGAGGAAGGGATCCACGCCACTCCAACAGTCTGGAGCCCAGGCTGCGCCAGTTTTGCGAGCTGAGGATGGAAGAAGGGCTACATTTGAACGCTTGAGAGGACAGAGGGTTTGGAAGGGGGTGGGGTGGAATGGACATGGCCCATCAGCAGGTGCTGGGGGCCGGGGATCCAGGGGCCTCTTTGCTGGCCCAGCGTAACCTGAGACCAGCCCCCTTTTCTAGCTGAAGAGCCTGTGGCTAAGTTTAGCCTGCCTGGTGATAACCTTTGCTTAAAAGGCAGAGGGCACGCTCTCCCGCACCCCGATTCCAACCCTGGCCCCTGCCCTTTCTGGGACTGCCCTCCCTCCTTGGGGCCCCAGAGCCAAGTCTGTATCTGTCTGGCGGCCTCGTGCATGGCTGGTTTCCAGGCTTTTCATGAACCCCAAGAGTAGGGCCAGAGGGCACCTAATGGTGACAGGAGGTGGCAAGTGCCACTGGCGGTCTGCTGGGGCCTGGCACTGGGACCCAGCCGTCCCTGTTCCATTCTTGCTCATGCTCAACCAGGACCATTAACCCTTTCCCTGGAAAGGGCCTCAGGGGCCCCTCCGAGCCCCGGCACTACCCAAAGTGCGTGTGTCATCTTTCATTAGTGTCTTCTGCCAGAGGGAGCTCAGTGCCCACGGGAGCATTACTGATGCAGCCTGCTGTTGTCATGACAGCAAAGACACCAGTGTTGTCATGAGAACACGCTCACTGCCTCTGGTCCAGGTGACTCAGCAGAGCAGACTTGGGGAGCTGAGGGGTGGGCAGGCTGAAGCAGTGCCTGCGCTGAGAGCCGACTTGCCACAGACCCTGGAACAGTTAAGGAATCTCTAGGTAGACAGACCGACTCCACAGATATTATCTAGAGCTGGAGGGGATCAGGACCTGACCTTCCATCTGTTCAGCCGGCTAGGTCAGTCACTGCCTCAGAGATGGGCTCAGGGAGCACGCCGGGGGAGGGGAGAACGCAGATCAGCCCTTGGTCTAGAGAAGGGTTTCTCCACCTCGGCACCACTGATTGGCATTTTGGGCCAAATAATTCTGTTTTGGCGGTCTGTTTTCTGCATTGTAGGATATTTAGCAACATCCCTGGCCTCTGCCCACTAGATGCTGATAGCATCCCTCCCACCTAGGTTGTGATGACAAAAAACTATCTCTAGGCATTGCCAGAAGGCCCCTGAGTAGTGCCACACTGGTCTGGAGACTGGCCGCTGCACGCTTCTCCACCGTGCAGCAATCCTGTCCCTCATGCGGTGTAGGGAGGTGTCCTGTCCTTCGTGCGGCATGGGGAGGTGGAGGAGGGGAAGATGAGGCACTGGGGGAGCATGGAGCTTATCAGATCTTCAGACAGGCCCCAGGACTTCAGGGCTCCTCTCCCTGCTGCCTGCATCTGGGCTCATGTAAGCTGAAACAGACAAGCTTAGGAAAAATGTCTAAAAGTATATAAAAAACATTTATTCATTAGGAAACAAGGAGACTGGCAGACATAGAGTCCAATGAAAGCAGCTCAATTCAGTTCAGTAAGGCCAGTTTAAGAGAAATGCTTTACATCATAAAGACCATTCTATATTAAAAAGACAAGAGGACAGGCAAGACGGTATTTTACAAGGGAGCGGAATTCAAGTTCACTTCATAAGATACCCCGCACAGCAGGGACAGGAACAGGCAAGATGACTTCCTAGGGCCTGTGCCTTCGAGGAGGTGCTCGGCGGATGGGGGTTGTTTTCTTGGGTGTCTCGTCTTCCGTCATCTCTGCTGAAAGCTCTATTCAGAGGATTGGAGGAGGAAGAAAAAGCTGAGTCACAAAGATGGTGAAAAGTACATCTCTGAGAACAAGTGGGACAGCCCCAGACTAGGCCCAGAAACAAAACCCATACTGTGCCCAGAGAAACACACCTGGGGGAAGGGCAGGGGCGGAGAGAATCTACATGGGGAGGACCCCATCAAAACTAGCTTCCCCCGACCCCTCCCCAAGCTATGCTCCTTGCGAGCCACATCTGGGAGGGAGCATCCTACCTTCCTCGCTGGACTCATCACTCGAGAAGACAATTCTGGGTTTCTTTTTCGAAACTCGCTGTTGGGTGTTTGGATGCCGACGGGCAGTGCGGTGGGGCTCAGGAGTGACAAAGTCACCGTCTGATGAGGCTGCAGAAGCCAGACGCTGGTGCCGCTTGGAGACTAGAAAAGGCCAACACATGAGTCCCAAAAAAAGGATACTCTGAGAGAAGGGCCCGATCTCTCCACTTGTGGGGCTGCCTCACGTACCAGTGGATGGTTTCTTGGCTGATGGGGCTCTCTGGCTACCCCCCTGGCCAACCTCAAGGTCTTCCATCGCATCCAGCCCTCTGGTGTGGCAGACCCGAAGCTTCTGCTCAAATTCATCTATTACAGCCTGGAGGGAGGGGAAGAGATTAAGAGCAGGCCTGGAAGGGGCACCTGGGTGGCTTGGTCAGTTAATCGTCAGACTTTGGCTCAGGTCATAATCTCAAGGCTCTTGAGTTTGAGCCCCACACTGGGTTCTATGCTGACAGCTCAGAGCCTGGAACCTGCTTCGGATTCTGTGTCTTGGTCTCTCTCTGCCCCTCCCCCACTGATGCTCTGTACCTCTCTCTCAAAAA